TTAAACTTGTTTTTGTTTATATTAAACTTGTTTTTGTTTATCAGCTGTTTGTCTGATGATGTTTCAGATTTAATGTTTGGTTGTTGATGTTTTCAGGAGTTACCTGCCAACAGCGTCCTGCTGGTGTATTTATCAGCTACAGGAGTTTTTCCTGCTGGACACTCAGATTATGAAGGTCAAGTATTTCAGGTCCTTTCAAAATAAAAGCATTGTGTTATAACAGGATGTGTTCAAGTMAAACAGTTCTAGAACAGGTCCAAAYGGGTCCCTCTGACCGAGCATACGTCAGACAGAACCCACCTGGTCCCGCTCAGACATGAGCTTTCAAAATGAGGCGTGACAAGTGTGGTGGAACCAGAACCGGGYTCAGACTCATGGTCCCTGCTTGTGTTCTGGTTCCAGTGGGCCCGTATGACTTTGGAGGGGTTCTGACCAACACCAACCGGGACGTGGTGAACGGGGAGACGGTGCAGAAGAGGAACCAGGCCCAGAAGGAGATGCACTGGTGAGGCTGCTGGTGCTGCTCTCAGACCACCACTGTAAACTGGCCCGGTTCTGAAGGTTCTGAAGGTTCTGAAGGTTCTGTTCTCTTTAACGTTGCAGCCTTCATCCAGGAGATCTGTTTCCTTTTACCAGGAAGCCTCTTTTTGTCGTCGTGGACTCTTCAAACAGCGCAGCGTATAAGGTCCGTCCCCGCTGTCAGACCTGGTGCTGGTCCAGTCCTGGTCCAGTCCTGGTCCAGTCCTGGTCCAGTCCTGGTCCAGTCCTGGTCCAGTCCTGGTCCAGTCCTGGTCCAGTCCTGGTCTGTGTTTGAGGAATATTTGATGTTTTCTGTCTTTTCTTGAACAGAACTTCACAAACCTGTTTGGTCAGCCTCTGGTGTGTCTGCTGTCACCTACAGTTTATCCTAAGAGTGTTCCAGGTGGGTCATCTCCTCAGGACCTCCTGAGACCAGCGAGTTCTGTTGAAACCGCTGATCCGTCCCTGTCCCTGTCTCTGTCTCTGTCCTCCGGTTCAGACCCGTCTCAGCGGGGGAGTCTCTTCACTCTCTTCCTCTACAGTCCTCTGCTGGCGTTCTCCTCCATCTGTGGTCTGAGCACCGTTGGACAAGGTCTCTGGGACCAGGCCCAGGAGTTCCTCCGTAAAGTCTTCCGGGACATTGGGCAGATGATCACTCGCTCCCGGACCATCGGTACGCACCTGTTCCTCATTTATACATTCCACAAATGCAAAGAGTCCAAATGACCTGAAATACCAGATGAGACTGGTCTCTGTGTGTGAGTCAAAAGTCTCAGGACACCTGGTCTGTCCTGAGACTCTTGACTCGTACTTCCAGGTCTGTCCTGAGACTTTTGACTTGGACTTGTCTCTGCAGATCAGGCCTTTTTGCAGTTTTTTGGTGACGAGTTCCTGCGGCTGCTGCTGATCCGGTTCGTGTTCTGTTCGGCTACATTCCGACTCCATAAACTTTTCCGGGTGAGTCTAAAGAAAACAGTTTTTGACCCAGTTAGTCCCAGACCAACAACAACAACAACTGCTGTTGTTGGACTTCTGTGCTCGTCACGGATTGTCCATCACGAACACCATGTTCAGGCATAAGGGTGTCCATATGTGCACTTGGCACCAGGACACCCTAGGCCGCAGTTCGATGATCGATTTTGTCGTCGTTTCATTGGATCTGCAGCCACATGTATGTCTTGGACACTCGGGTGAAGAGAGGGGCGGAACTGTCAACTGACCACTACCTGGTAGTGAGGTGGCTCCGGTGGTGGGGGAGGAAGCCGGTCAGACCTGGCAGGCCCAAACGAATAGTGAGGGTC